AGGGCAGTGTTACTGGCCCTCATATGTGGGATCCGAACCGGGGCCCTCTGGCATCCCAAGCGAGTTCTTAACCATCGCGCCACTCGGCCGGCCCCTCCAGGGAGCATTTCTAATGCCGGCTTCTCAGGAGCTGGGACGCCCCATCCTGGGAGGGAGCTGAGCACACATGGGGTGGGGTTCCTTGACAAGAAGGGATTAACACCATGTGGGGGCGCCCAGGTCGGATTGCCTCTACTTGGTTGTACAGTAGATGCACCAGGTGGGCTTTGAGAAAATACAGGTCTGGGCACCTCCTGCTCCCAAGAGCTGGTGTCTTGTTTTTTCCCAGTTTCATTGAGGAATACTTGACAGATAACATTGTGTAAGTTTGAGGTGGATAAGGCTAGTTATCACCTCCCACAGTTTCCTTTTGTGGGTGTGGTGAGAACATCTGTGATTAGCGACTTTCAGGTTTATAACGCAGTATTGTTAAGCACAGTCACCATGCTGTACGTTGGCCTCCCCCACCCCAAAGATTTTGACCCACGAAGGCCTAAGACATGAAGTCCTGGGGGAGCCCCAGAACCGCCTTGTATCTTGTGGTTACAGCTGAAAGGGCACCGGTGAGCGAGCTGGTAGAGGGACCACACACCAGATGCTGAGGCCACATCTTGGGGCCACCAGCAGCCCTCAGCACGGTGGCCCCGGGTGACAACACGGCCCCGCCCCGTGGCCCACCCGTCCCTCTCGTCCCCTCTCTTGCAGCAACTGCCTGCACGTGGTGGAGCCCAAGCCCGTGCCCAGCCGCGACGTGGAGGCCTACTGCCTGCTGTGTGAGTGCGAATATGAGGAGCGCAGCACCGCCACCATCAAGGTGACCCTGCCCCCCACAGCCCCGCCCCCCCCAGGTCCTGCTGCCAAATACCCGTGCACAGGGTATTGTTCTGAACATTCCACGTGGCTATGGGACTGGCTTCTGAGCTGGCCTGTCACAGACACAGGGACCCACTTCCCACTTCTTGGAGCCAGCCCTCCTCTGTCCTCTGTCCAGGGGCCCCCCTTACACTGTGTGGGGGGGTGAGAGCCTGGAAGAGGCTCGCCGTTCCTTTCCCCCCATTTTCCCCAGTTCAGTCCCCTCCCCTCCTATTCATTCAGTACACATCTTTCGGGTGCCTCTTCCCTTCTGGGCACCGTGCAAGGTGTCGCTCACAGACAGGTAAGCCCGCCCTCCTGAAGCTCACAGCCTGAGCCTCGTCTGAGGGCTCCGGGGAGCTGTGCCCCAGGCTGGGGTCCCGTGCCGGACGGGCAGGAGGGGCGTCAGGCTGCCTCCTCTCTGCTTCCCTGATCCGCGCTCTCCCAGATCCAGACAGAAGAGGCAGGTGTGGCCGCCCCACAGGGAGTGCGGACAAGGGCCCGTCCATTTCTCTGCCCCCGGCAGGACTTGCGTGACCACGGCTGCCTAGCAGACTCGTCCCCAGAGCCTCCCCGTCCCTACTCCAGGCTCCGACCGCCCTGCGCCAGGCCCTGCTGACTCTCCTGACACAGCCCTTCCTGGTTCCGTTTTTAAGCTTATTCCTGCTTCTCCCGTGAAGAGTCTAGAAACAGCATCGGGAAAGAACTCGGGGTTCAGGGGCACTGCTGAGTCAGGTTTCTCCTCTGAGGCTCCTTTGGATGGGAGGCGACCCTCGCCGCTGTCCTGCCGCCTGGACCAGGGAGCCACAGCGCCTTCAGTGTCCTTAGTCGCGTGTGTCCACCTCTGAGGTGGAAAGCAGCTACCTGTCCCCCCTCAGCCAGTGCCCCGTCAGGCGGACTCCCCTTTTCATCCTCCCACCCCGGTCCCCGCCTCTGCAGCCGCCTTTCTTCTTCTCTGAACTGGCTCCAGTGTCACCCCACCACCACCCTACCACCCCTGCTTGGGGACCAGACGCCTGAGACCTTAAATTCTGAGCCAGATGTCACCTCTCCGTGTGGCAGGGAGGGACTTTCCGACACAGGACTTCATCAGACACACTTCTAAGCCCTCAGATTTCCCGAGTCCTCTCCCTGCGGGGACACCCCTACCTTCAGCCTCCCGTCCCCACCCCTTCCCAGGTGCAGGCGGCAGGTCTGGTTGAGGTCTGGCTGTTGACCGTTTAAAGAGGCAAGAACTTGCTGCCCGATCAGGGAGGAAGTGAGCCTGAGCTGGGCAGCGGACTTGAGAGTCCTGAGGTTCCTGTCTTTCTTCTGCGCCCCGTCTCAGTCCATTCAGAGCCAGAGCTGGAGTCGGGGGCCTCACCATGGCCAGGCGTTGTGGAGGTAGAAAGAGCGTTACAGGTGGGGTCCGCAAACTGGAGTGCAAGTAACACCCCATTTCCTAGCCTTGGGCCTAAGGGTGAAGGCTTCAGCCCAGGGGTCCCCCAGTCAGGTGTGTGCTGCCCTCTAGGGGACAAGGAAGTGAGTGGAGGTGCTTCTGTGGTCCCAGCAACAGGGTGTTATTGACACCGTTACAGGGACCACGGTGCTCGGTGTCCTGGGGAGCCCTGTCTGACGTGCCCAGGGCACCCACACTGAGTGACCAACGTTGCATTTGCCTCGTTGAAGCTGTCTTTTCTGTAAAATGGGACTCACTCCAGCTCGTGAGGATTTGCAAGGCTGCCATGCTGCCCCGGCTCTCCGCCTTGCAGGGTGACTGTCCCCCTGAGAGCTGAAGCTCCGTCCCCGCCAGCCGTCCTGGCGCACACACCCGGTCCAGTCTCCCAGGCTCCTGCCCTCAGCCTCGCCCCAGCTGCCCCCCTGTGCCCTGTTTAGCGCCCGATGGGTGTGTGCTGTGTACTGAAGGCTCCTGTGCAGCCGGTGGGCCGTTTCCTCACCCCCACCCCTGGGCTCATCTCGGCGTCCTGACCATCTGTTGCCTGGCTGCTGGAGACCTGATGGTCCTTGGGGGAGCTCTTGGTCTCAGGCAGTCAGTGACTCTGTGGCACGGGCCATGCTACCCTCCCTGGCACTCCGTCCCTCCCAGCCTGCAGTCTTCTGGCCCTGTCCCCAAGCAGCACTGCAGCGTCACTGCCACTGAGCACGGGCTGGCTCACAGGGCGCGGTCTGCCCGCAGGTCATCATTGTCATCTACCTGTCGGTGGTGGGCGCCCTGCTGCTGTACATGGCCTTCCTGATGCTGGTGGACCCTCTGATCCGGAAGCCGGATGCGTACACGGAGCAGCTGCACAACGAGGAGGAGAATGAGGTACCGAGGGGGCTCGGGTGGGCCTGCCACCCTGCGCTGCCCCCGCTGGGGTGCGGGGGTCCCTGCAACTCCTGGTGAGTGTTCCACGTGTCACCCAGACTCAGTGTCTTCCTCGGCGGGGACTGCCCTGGGCACCTCCAGGTGACACAGAGTGGCCCTGGGTTTCTCTTGGCGTCCGGCATCGGGCAGCCTTGGTGACGGCTAGGGCGCCATATCTGCCTGTTACGCTGCACGTATAGGCAGAGGGGCGTGAGCCGACCGGGCCAGTCACACGTGAACACACGTGGCGTCCTGGTGGCTCAGGGGTGTCAGGCTGGCGGTGGGCTTTGCGGTGGCAGATTTATCTACAGTGATCTCAGACACCTGCTGCGCACCTGCTTGGGCAGAGCGCGGCCCCACGGCCTTAAGGGAAAGTGGGGTTCCAGGTGCCTGCAGGAGGCAGGTAGGTGGAAAGGCGTCGGGCGCTGGCCGGCGTGTGCGTGTGATGGACATCAGCATTTCAGGGACAAGGGAGGTCCGTCCGAAGGGCAGCAGACAGAGCTGGCTGGTCAGTTACGGCCAGATTATTAAAGGCTCATGTCACACTGAGGAGTCTCAGCTTTGGTACGTGAGGAAGGTGGGGACCCACTGGCGCCAGGCAGCCTGCACACCCCTAGGGCACTCCCGTGATGGGCCACAGTTAATGACCGCTGTCACCCCTTCCCATCGCTCCATACTGCAGAGTTACGGTGCCCTGCAGAGGAAGTCAGGGCAGGTGGGGGGAGGGCGAGGATGGAGCCGCCGCGCCCCCCCCCCCAGGGAGCCTGGGGCTCTGCCACTTACTGGGACAATGAGTTGAAGAAACTGGGAGACTTTAGCTTGAAAAGAAAAACGCAGAAACTGACGGAGATGCACGGCAGCAAGCGAGAGGTGGGCCTCGCCCTGGGTAAGGCTGGGGGCAGAAGGACCACAGTGGGAGCGTCTTGCAGGCCACGCAGTCATCAATGGGGCGATGGGGTGGGCTTCCCACAGGGTCACTAGAGGTCACCAGGCGCAGGCTAACCTGCCGTGGGGACTCGGAGTTCAGAGCCATTCGAGCACAGGATTGGAGGTGGGCGAGGGCGGGCTCCCCAGGAAGAGGGTCGGGGCTCAGACCTGTGTGTGAAGCTGCACAGGGCCAGCGAGGGAGGGCGGCCTGGCTGCTCCCACGGACCGTGCTGCTGCTGGGTACATGCCCAGACCGTTGCCAGCTGCCCCCAGCCTCCTGCTGACATGAGTTTGGCCAGAGGTGGGGCAGAAAGGACGGGCCTGCCCGCTGGAGGTGGTGGCGCTGGCAGCTGGGTGGTCTGTGTTCGAGAGGAAGCCCGGCGTGCCTACCTGGTCATTAATGCACAGTAATAGCAGCTCTGGTGGGGGGAGGGCATCGCTAATAAACACTCGGCGATTAGGGTAATGTGGTAATTGCAGTCCTGGCGGGGCGTAATTGAGAGATGCGCAGTGATTACAGCCGGGCTGCGATTTCCCTGGAATGCACGGGTCTCGGCCCGGCCTTGTCGTGTCTCCTGCCTCCTGGACGCGGAGCGGAGGGGGCACGCCTGCGCTCTGGGGTCTCCCCACTTTGAGCCTTCATTCACACCTGCCTCTGTGTGTGTGAGGGGCCCCCGGGGAGGAGGGGTTACATGTGGTCAGTCTAGTTCCTGGAGCAGAACCAGAATCGGGGGGTGGACGTCTGGGGCAGATTTGGGCTGAGTAGGAGGATTGTCCGCAGCGCTGGCCGCTGTCCACCCCCCCCAAGTCAGACGTGCCTGGGAGGCGGGGGGGGGGGGGGGGGGGCAGCAGCGGCTCCCGAGCTGAAGCTGGCAGCACGTGTTTCGTGCTGAAGAGGGGATCCCGACCTAGGAAATGGGGGCGGGTGGATGACACCCCTTACCTCCCCCTGCCCCTGAGGTTCTAGAAGGTGATAAAAAGTGTGTTCAGTCTCTGACACCTGACCTGAGGTGCGGCTAGCTCTGCAGAGTGGTTAAGGGCAGGCCTTCAGGGCAGCCATGAGTGGCCTGCGCCCTGCTGGCTCCCTGAGCCCGACTCCCCGAGGCATCGCTTGGAGTCGCTGCTCCACCCTTCGCTAATGGCCCTGCAGGGTAACCCATTGTAGGTGCCCCGGGCATCCCTTTATGGGCTCCGACGTTTCAGTTCTCTCCTGTGCACGCACCTGTCCTCCCTCTGTCCTCAGAAGTCCCACAGGTGCGCTGTGTGGGTTTACATACTCATGTCAGTCCTCAGGGGTGTCTGCCCCCAAGACAGAGCCCCACACGGGGGAGCCAGCAGGAACACAAAGGCCCTGGGCAGGATCGGGGTTCGGACGGGGCAGCCAGGGACGAGGCTCTTTGGGTCAGGGTGGGCCTTACCCTTCCTTCCTGTGAGCTGGGGCAGGCTGGCCTCCTGGGAGGGGGGCCTGCTCAACTGCTGGGGGGCAACCAGGCTGCGTAGAGCCCAGGGGTCCCGTCTAGTCCTGGGTGGTGAGGACACCGCTGGCCTTCCCTCTCGGCACATGGGGAAGGGGTGTGGGAAGTGGGCAGGAGAGCCGCTCCCGCCTCTGTGAGCAGCGGCAGAGCCCGGCGGACGCTGCGTCCCTGTTTTATTAGAGGTCTGGAGAGTTTCCCTGAAGGAAGAAAGGACACCCCCTGGGCTGGGGCCCAGCTTTCACCCCAAGGGGAGGAAAGTCAGAACAGGACCTCTCGGCCTGCACAGCTCAGTGACCCTGAGAGGAAAACTGTCCAGGCCCCTGGACTCCAGCCCTGCGCCCAGTCAGATGAGATCTGGAGGTCAGATGACTCCCCAGGATTGGGGGCCCTTGCTCCAGCCCCCCAACTTCTGTAGCCAGGAGTTCTCCTGCCCTGGGGCTGGAGGAAGGAGGCGGCCCCCAGCCGAGCCCCAGCCGTGCAGGGAGATGAAAGCGGGCTGGTCCCTTTGAAAGCGCGGGGCCGCGTGCTGGGCGCTGCCTCCCCGGGATTCCAGCAGCATTAGGCCTAATCCCTGGGCTCAGACGCCCTTTGAAAGGAGGAAGCAAACGTGTTTGCTGGGACCGAAACGGCAAACAGAGCTGTTCAGATGTATGGGCTTGGCCCTCTTTGAAGAGAGAAATGGGGCTTCTATGCGGTTCTGTGAGGCTCGGGTGTCCGCTGCTCACTGCATGGCCTTAGAGATCGTCCCCCCCGGGGCTTGGGTACAGTGCTGTGGGAGGAGCGCGTGTGGACACCGAGGAAAGATGTGACGGCACCTGGGGACATGAAGGGAATGGGGCCGAGGACGTGGGGCCGTGAGAATAGACCGCTTCCCCCAGGGATGGGTGGGCAGCCTGTCCGGGAGCTGACAGGACACTTGGAGAAGACATGCTGAGAGGGACAATTCCCTGTCTCCTCTGAGGACAGAACAGAAAGGTGTGGGTCAACAGACATTTCTAGAACAACCGCTAGGTCCTCCCAGCATGTGGTCAGGAGAGCTGGGAGAAGGGCCTGCAGCCGCTGTCCATGGTGCTTACCCTCTGGGCCGTTTTCCGAACCTGGACTTGGACGTGTGTGTGCCGGCTTCACAGTGCCCGTTTGTCCTCAGCAAGGAGGCGTTTCCCTCGGGTCTTCGCACCTAAGTGCCTTGTGACTGGCGGGAATGGCTGAGAACAGCAGGCACAGAGGCCCGGCCTCGAGGCGGTCACTGGTCAGGAAGGACCGTGCTGACCGGTGGGGAGGCGAGGCCGGGCTGCGTGGTTCCCCAGCTCAGGCTGGAGCTCTGTGCTCTGGTCACCAGGCGGGGCTCTGAGCAGGGGACTGATGGCACTGTGTGATGTGCAGGAAGGTGGCAGTGGCAGCGCCATGCGGGAGTCGGGGAACCTTGCAGCCCGGAGGCCGTGGGACTGGCCACAGCAGGAAGGATTTGGGTTAACGTGGAGAACTGTGTGTCCACCTTCTGAAGGGCTTTGTATGAGGGCCGTCCTTAGCGTGTGGCGGGTCAGTGACAAGGTGACCTGTCCTGCTTTCAGGCCCAGGATCAGGGAGGAGGCAGGTCGCTGCCCAAGGTGGGGGGTCCCCTCTTCCTCGTCTCCTCGTCTTCAGGGAGGCGTGGGCCAGTCCAGAGCTGGCTCAGACCTGTGGGTCAGCTCAGGCTCGCCGACACCAGCGTCCGGGTCATCCCGGGCTGGAGAGGGGGCCTCACCTGGAGCCCTGGTTCCTGGTGCCTGATGGGCGGGGCTCCCCTCCTCTCCTAGCTGCCCTCGCCTCCCCGAGTTGCCCAGAAACCTAGCCCCAGAGGGAAGCAGCTTGGAATGGTGGTGTTTGTCCTGCAGCACAGCAGGCGAGGACGGCCCGCTGTGGGCGTCCCTGGTACAGATGTGGCAGCTTTAATACCTTCTAATCGGACTATTAGCACAGAGCTTCTCAGCGGCAGCTCTACCGCTTAGGAGCTGTTTGTCAGGACTTTACGTGAAGAACACACGACACTGCGGGAACGTAGTGGGTTTCAGCACTCGGGCTCCCCCACTTCCACCCTGAGCAGGGCCGAGGCCCCTCGCTGGTCCCGGGAGGCTCAGGACTTGGAGTAGGGGGGGAAGCCCCTGGGCCCTGCAGCTGGGATGGCTGGGTCCTGCTGGGCCATAGCTCCCCAGGCGGGCTTCGGGGCCCACTCACCTAGACGGCCACACGGAGGCCTGTCCGTGGCACCGTGGGGCTGCCTAACTGAGCGGGACTGGAACTGAACGGTGTGCCAGGCCGTGGAAACTCAAATGTCCCACCTGGTCTGTCCCAGGGCGGGGGCCTGACGGTGGGCCTGTCCCCTGAGTGCGCGCCCTCTGCACCCGTGGTCTTGCCGAGAAGCAGCTCTTTCAGCCCCTCATGGGCAGCTGGTCAGAGGATGAGGTCACTTGGCCAAGGTCATGTCCTGGGAGGTGTCGGGCAGGTGTGTGAGTCCACAGGGCCCTCCCAGCTGCCAGGACGGGAAGCAGCACTGAGGAGCCCCCCCCCCACGCCCCCCGCAACTGCCCATGTGCCATGTACTTTCCTGCCGCTATTTCATTTACCTGCCAAACTCCTCTCCCAGTCAGGAACCATGTTTTCTAAACTGTGGGTCATGGCCCACTAGGTCCTTAAGTCAATTTAGTGTCACAGCCAGCAATGTTAAACCGTGAAGTGGAGCAGAGCATATCAGAAGGCATCATACTTGGTATTTTGTGAAACTTTTTAATTGTGTGTGTGTGTGTGTGTGTGTGTGTGTACTCGTGCGCGCACGAGATCTTTGGGTAAATGTGATTCCTACTGACTCACAACAGCCTGAAAACACTGGGTTACTAGGTTGAAGGCTGGAGGAGTAAAGCCGTTTGTCCAGGGACACGCAGCTGCTCGGCGGTGCAGCCGCCTCTCCTTCCCAGCTCCCACTGTGGGCCGGTGAGGTGGGCCCAGGGGAGCCTGAGGCTGGAGAAGGGTCCCGACTCCAAGGCCAGTGCGCCTGAAGCCACCACACCTGCCTCACCTGGCAGAGGGACCTTCCTGGGCCCTGGACACGGGCCTCCTGGGGGCACTGTCCACCTCAGGCTCACCTTGGGCAGTGCTCGCAAGATCAGTGACAGCTCTGCGGTGACAGACCCTCTGCAGCGGCCAGCTCTCTGCCTCCCCTACCCTCACCTAAGCGCCCCGTCTCCCCAGCCTGGCAGCTGCGTGGCGACAGAAGCCGTGCCAGCCCAGGGCCTCAGAAGCAAAGTTGCATTTACTGGGCGGCCCTGGGCTTAGAGGGGTGCGCTAATCCCTTAAGAGACGGGTGGCAGCAGATGAGAGGCAGGAGAGCGGGGAGGAAATCCCCACGGGGGGTGGGCCTGGCCTTGGGCTCTAAGTCCCCCAAAGACCAGGTTTGGGTCCTGCGGAAATGCACAGCCGAGCTTCAGAGGCGCAGAAGTGGTAATTAGGGCGGATGCGCCTTTGACGACAAGCAGCTCTGAGAGCAAAGGGGAAGGGAAGGGGCTGAGCCGTCCAAGGCCAGGAGCAGGCTCCAGGTGGGGCTGCTGGCGCCCAGCTCCCGGTTCCCGTCCCTGCCAGGCGCCCCGCAAGGTCACATCCCTTCCGGGCAGATCCTCTGGGTCCCCAGCTGTCCAGGGGGCCCCTGCTCCCACCTGGAGGCCCTGCTGGCCACGTCGGTGCATTTCCTCCTGGTCCTCTGCGCTGCCACATGACGTCCCAAAGCCAACACCCTCTTCCTTTTGAGGGTTAGAAGTCGGCCTGCGTGGTGCCTCCGGGGGCCTGACTGGAGTGGCCACGTGATAACGGGTCTGTCCTACTGTTTCCACAAACACTGGGCCCCCAGCGTGGCCTCCCTGGGGAGCAGTGTGCCCTCAAGGGGCCCACGGCTTTGGGGAGCTCGGGCCGCCTGCCCGTTGAGTTCACACGGCAGGGCTGCTCTCGGGCATTTTATCCACGTTGGGTTCGCAGACCCACACGTCTCTCCCTTCCCCCTGCAGGACGCTCGCTCTGCGGCTGCCGCCACGGCCTCCCTCGGGGGGCCCCGCGCCAACACGGTCCTGGAGCGCGTGGAGGGTGCCCAGCAGCGCTGGAAGCTGCAGGTACAGGAGCAGCGCAAGACCGTCTTCGACCGGCACAAGATGCTCAGCTAGGTGGCCGCTTGGCCGGGGCTGGACGGGCCAGAGGCCACGGCTGCCCTGCTCGGCGCCACCCCTGTGCCTTCCCTGTCAGCGCGCGCGGCGTCGCCCCTCCTCCTCTGTAGAAATGGTCTCTGCTGATTGAATCGGGAAGGCGGCTGAGTGCTGGCCTCCTGCTGGCCAGCCCAGCTCAGTGGGGTTGAGGCTGGGGTCGGCGGGCCCGGAGGGGAGGGAGGCGTGTCCAGGGGCCCACCCGTGCTCCAGCTCCAGCTCCCAGGACTGTCATTCCCCTGTGGACTCGGAGCTGGGCCACCAAGACTGTGGGGATGGCCAGCCCGCCCTCAGCATGTTGTCCCTCCTCTCTGCGTCCTGTGGTTGCCTTGCTCCTGACCCAGGACCTCAGCCCAGCGTGGCCTTCCCCAGCCTCAGGGTGGCTGTGATGGGACAGCGGACGCCGCTGAGCCCACTGGGGTCCTAGGGCTCCCTCTCCCCCACACTTGCCCTGATGCGTGGGGGCCGCGCCCTTTGCTGGCTCTGCTGCCTGGCCCCTCGACCCCCTTCAGGGAGCCAAGCAGCCCCCCACATGCCTGCAGTTCCTGAGCCAGGGAGGTGGTGGGACCATGTGACACACAAGGCCGAGCTGTGGCCCTGAATGCCGCGGCTCCTGTCCTTGGATGGCTTGTCCACTTGTCCCTGGATTGCATTGTACCAGTGCATGGAGACGTGCGTCCTCCCGCTGCCTGTACATCGCGGAGGCCATTATTAAACTCTTACTTCTCTCACTTGCTGGATTTTAAGAGACTTAGAGAAATAAGAGCGTTTCACTCGCGACCTGGTAAGTGCTGCATCCGAGAGCAATGTCCTTGGCAGGTCCAGGCCGGAGGCAGCAGCTGGCCAGTCCCAGTGAGTCTGGCAGCGCCCACAGTGGGGTCCCACTCGCCTGACAGAGACTGGCGGGCTGGGGGTGCCGCGCCTCGCAGGTCCAGGAGTAAGCGGCCCTTGGGGATTGGCCTGAGAGCCTGTTTCACCTTCCTGGGAGAGTCCCCTGAAACTCTGAGCGGTGTCTGGTGTCAGTGTCACAGAGTGAATGGTGCTCACTGCAAAACCCCCGTTCTCCCCACTGAAAACCAACAAGTATTCAGAGAGGGTGGGGGATGTCGGTGTCAAGGGGCCAGGCAGAAACAAGGCGCCGGAGCCATTGGGGTCTGACCGACCCAGGGCTGTCTGAGGGAACCCCTGTGGGTAGCCTCCATGGGGAGCCCCAGGCTGAGGCCTTGGTGAGGCGAGGCTGCCCGTCTGCAAAGATTCGCCAAAGTTCAGGGCCAAGTGCAAGTCCTAAAGGGGATGGGAGGGGGTGACATGCAGGTGGGGCCTCCGGGAGGAGAGAGACGGGCTGGCATTGGGAACAAGGGACACAACTGCTGAGGGGACTGAGTGGGTTGTGGGACCCTGAGCAGGTGTGTGCAGCCAACGTGAAGCCTGCTGGGTCCTCGTGTCACAGATGAGAGGGTGGGCAGAGGGACCAGCGCTGAGGACAGTGCCACCCTCCTGTACCTGGCACATGCGTGGCACCTGCTGGGGCCACACTGCTCTGGGGGCCTGAGTGGACCATTGTCTCTGTCACGATGGGGAGGCACTGAGTCCCTGGTCCTCCCTGGGCAGCTGAGCTCTGCACAGAGGGACTGACCAGGGCCCCTGCGGTCCACCCGTGCCCTTTATGGGGCCATGAGTCCTTCATTGTTAGTCTTTTTATCGAGCCTTACTCTTTCTGGGCCACTGAGTCGCCTTCCTGGGCTTCCCTTCTCCAACCCTAGAAAACCTCGCCTGCTACGTTAAGAAAATCTAGGCCAGTCCGTGTGACCTCTGTTTCCCCTGGAGTTGAGCTCTCCCATCTGCAAAGCTGTCTTCATGCTTGCTTTGACCTTCGCTGTGGCCTTGAGGGTGGCATGTTCCTCCTGTTGGGCGCCCACCCACCCATCTCTTCTCCCAGAACCTCCGTCATCCCTGCAGCTCGCCCCAATGCTGGCCCTTCCCAGCCTGTTAACGTGCTCTACAAAGAACCTTCCGTGGGCCCCACGTCCACCTCAGTCTAGAGTGGAGTCTCCCACGCGCCCCTCCCCGCACCCTCCCCCTTCGTCCTCTGCAGGCAAGGTCACCGAGGGTGTCTCTGGGCCTTACCTTTCTGGCCCCCCTGGTCCATCCCTTCACTTCGCCCTAATACCCCTGTCCCCCGGGCTCCCGGGCTCAGTCTGCTGCACTCCATCTAAATGTGAACGTCACAGTACTCTCCCCGAAAGTGTATTTCTCCTTCATGGTTTCCTGGGGTTCGTTCTAGAATCTGACTCTAGCCCAGACCTGACCCCTGAGCTCCAGACTTGTCCACCTGGCTCTCAGCTGGCCTCCCGCCCCCCGCCATCCCCCGCCAGGTGCCACAGAGCCTGTTGAAATGGGCGTCCCAACCTAAACTCATCTTTAGTTGGCTTCTGTGTTCTTTATCTGAGTTGGTGGTACCACTACCCGCCAAGTTATTCAGCCAGAAAGGTTTCTTCCCTTGTCTGCAGTCCCCACGTCCACTCACGAAGTCCCATCAGCTTTGCCTCCAGAGGACTCTGTCCCCTGCCCCCTCTGCCCCTCCCAGCACCACCCCCGCCCACACCTTCATCACGCACACTGGGCCACTGCAGTTCTTACTAGGGCCACCAGAGATCGTGTCACTTCCTCCTTCAGAACCGTCACGGGCTCCCCACTCCTTGAGCCCGAGCTCTTGGTGGAGGCCTGAGAGTCCTCAAGGCCGTGACCTGCCGACCCCTCTGACCCGTGGCCCCAGAGCCAGTTGGCAGCAGTGATGGGGTGCAAGGTGTTGGAAGGGGGCCCGCTGGATATGAGCTCGCCCAGCTGGTCCTGGCCTTGGGTGCTGGGGGTCACCTGACCAAGGTGCCCAGGAGGCCCTGCTCTCAGGCTCCCACCCCAGCCCCACGCTTCCCTCCTCTCCCTGGGGGCCGAGGAGGGGGCAGAGCCTGGAGAAGTGACGGGAGGGGACGGATGCCCAGGCCTGTGCATTTGCTGTCCACACTCAGGCAACTCCTCCGGGCTCCAGGGTGGACAGTGTGGCCTGAAGGCCAGGATGGACCCGGTTCCTGCACCCGCCCGGCCCTCTGGCAGTCCGTCAGCCCCTGAGCCAGTCTCCCCGTCCCTGACGCCACCACAGCCCAGCTGTCCTCAGGTGATGGCGCCCGTGACGGGGGCTGGGACGGCACCCCCCAGACCAGCCCTCCGTTTAGGAAAGCGGGGTGGTTGAGGGGCCCGGGGCACCTGCCGACTGCCACTCGCTGGGCACCCGGTGCCTTTCCACGCCTCACATGCCGTCTCCTCGCTGCACGGGGCGTCATTGTAGGGAACGCGTAGTTAACGTGTGAAGCGCTGAGAAGACGCCTCGGACGTGTCACTTCCGCGTAAGCCCTGCTATCCGTCAGGGCTCTGGTGACTGAACAGGGGCCTCCCTCCCAGTGTGATGGGGCCCAGGGCGCGAGAAAACCGGGACCCCAGAGCTAAGTCCCTCCCTTGTTCAAGTTCGCTCAGAACCTCAGGGGGCGGGGGGGGGGACAATGACAGGTGGCTCCCTCAGTCTGGTCCCTGGTGTCCCCACTCTCCAGGCGTGGGGCTGAGTGGCAGCCAAGGCTGGAGGCAGGCTGACCCTGAGGGCACTGGGCTCCTCTGATCAGGACGGACGTGGAGGGTGGGGCTGCAGCTGCAGGCTAGGAGCCCTGGCCCCCCCCCACCACCAGCAGCAGCCCCCCTGAGCCTCAGTTTCTCCAGAGTAAGGACGTTACACCGGCCCGATGTTTCCCAAAGCGCAGTTCCCACGTGAGGGGGTTTCAGGCAGCACCCGGAAGAATACTTTTTATTCTAGCACTTACGTAATTATTTTAATGCGTATTAGGAAAAAACGTGGTTAGCACACCAACTTCAGGATTTTGTGGCTATTAATGTGAAGGACAGGCGAAAAGGCAGGCTGTGAGGACGTGTAAAAACCATTAGCAAAGCAGTAAGTGCAGAAAGGGCAGGAATTTTGGAAGGAGCTGATGACAGCGGTGCTGGTTTGGGTCCCCTGCAGAGCTGACATCTGTAAGCTACATAAACTCTAGACTGCAGTCTCCCCGAGGGTCAGAGGGGTGAGAAGTGCTGAGTGGTGGGGCCGGGGAGGCCGAGACCGGACACCAAATGGACCCACGCTGCTGCAGCCTCCTAGTCCCCGCGTCAGCCCTGCAGTGCCCAAGGGGCACCAAACAGCCCCCGACACCCAAAGTGGCCCCATCAGAGCCGCTCAGAGACAGGAGTCTTCCCATCACCATAAGGATGTACCCCCCACCCCCCGGTCTCACCCCGACACCCAGGAGCACCTCATCGGCTCTAATGCACAGGCTTCCACTGTAGGTGTCGTCCCCCTGGGCCCTCAGCGGGCAGCACCCCGGGGGGCCAGCACCTCCACCTGCCCTGGGCTCCAGCAGGCACTCAGGATGGCCAATCACAGGACGCCAGGAGTGGCCTTCACTCCTCCTCGGAGCTGATCGCAGATCAGAGGAGCCCCCTCCGCCCTCCCTTTCTGGGTGTGTCACTGTTTGAAGCTCCGTCAGGTAACGTGTACCTGGCTCCTGGTGCCGTGGCGGGAAGCCGGGCAGAGGCTGCCAGGCGCTGAGGCAGGCGGGCAGCACGGACGTCCGCCGTTCCCCACACCCCCCAACACCCCCACCCCCACCCCGGAGAGGCACAAGCCACAGGTGGCTGTGAGCAGAGCCGCGGAGCAGCAGAGCCAACCCAGAAGGTAACTGTGGAGGTGGCGGGCGGCCGAGGGGCGTGAGGCCAGGTTTCCCGGGGGCTTAGTCACCTGGCGCCTTCCCCCCAAAGGAGGGTGAGCAGCCCAGCTCCCGCTGGCTGGGGGGAAGGCGGGTGAGTCCCGCTGCCATGGGAACTTGCCCTAGGGCTTGCGGCTGGAGAGCCCACAGCCCCTGGGTTCGGCCAGCGCCTGATGTCTGCTGTGTGCAGACTGATGTGAGGCTTTTCTGGGTACAAGCCATGCACTTGACCACATTTTAGAAGGAATGGGTGCTCTCCAGGGAGGCTTTCCTGGAAAGGAGCCTCCTGCATCTGCCCAAGGGGGCAGGCTCGAGTGGTGCAGGGCAGAGGGTGGGGGCACGGCCTCGAGCCGGCCGCAGGGGTCTGATCCCAGCTCCATCACTTAGTCTGTGGGTGACCACAGGCCATTGGCTTGTGTGGGTCTGTGCTACCCTGGTACACAGGTCAGTACTCGCATCTGCCTCGTAGCACTGCTGTGGCGGTCACATGAGTGATGTGCTTAGACGAGCTGGACGCAGAGACGGATGACTATACAAACGTTCTTGTTTGTAACCCTGCGATTTGCTAGAAACATGACCTGAGGCTCTGAGCCTCAGTTTCCCCATCTGTTACCTGGAGGGGATTAAATGAGTTGTTAGCACAGGGGAACCGTGGTCTCCTGCCTTGAAAAGTGAGCCAAGATTGTGTCCCCACAGAGACACCGTGTTCCCGCCCCGCCTGTGCCAGAGGAAACGGGGCAGAAAAGCTTAGCGTCGTCAGGCCCAAACCTCTATGCAGCTGCCTCACACACCCCAGACATTAGACAAGCGACGTGTCTGTGAGAGCGCCTGCCTCACCGTAACAGTCTGTGGATTGGGTCAGTGACACGCACAGATGACCGCGTGCTCAGCTGTTGAGTCTCCCCTCTACGTTTAGGCTACTTCTCGGGGATATCCAGTGTGTCGGGAGAGGGGCCGGCCCTGCAGGACGCTGAGATGCATGGGGCCAGTCCTGCCGTTCTCCTTGAGGAAGCAAGATGCTGACATGTGACAAGGTGAACGGCAAGGTGAGGGGACAGCCCGAGAAAGCGTCCCCAAACAGCTCATGAATAACAAGCCACCAGCACGCAAAGGCCTTAGGATTCAGGGCAGAGAGACAGAGCATGGAGCAGGAGAGGGCAGGGGACACTTTGTGACCAGGGGAGAGCCAGGCTGGTTCTGGAAGGAATAGGACCTGGCGGGGACAGGAAAGGGCCGACTTTCCAGGCCTAGTGGGGAGACGGCCGAGGCTGATGTGGAGAGCGGAGGGCTGATTTGGGGGTGCAGTCGGGGGGGGGCAGCCGGAGGACCGCAGACTGCTGAGGACCCTCGGTGCCAGGCAAAGGGGAGTCACATGATCAAAGAAATGTCTTAGGACAGGAATCTGGCTTTGTGCACGCAGAGAGATTGTGTGGGGGCAAGACTAGTGGGGGGGAACCCGTGACCCTCCACGTCAGCAGCAGCCACGGTCCGTGAGTCCCGGTCAGCCACAATGCAAGATGTTTTCACCCACCATGTCCCTACACTGCGCAGTGACCCCAATAAGTAAGTGCGGGGGCTGTCCCCACCCCACAGGGTTGTTCCTGTAGCTAGACGGTGGCAAAGCCAGGGTCCAAAGCCCGTTGGCTGGCCCCAGAGTCCCTGTTTTGATGAGCTGCAGAGAGCACGCATTCCCTCTAAAATGTGGTTAAGTGCATGAATGAGAGATGGCTGGGACAATCGGTGAAGTCTGTATGTGTGGGGACCTGAGAGCACCTCAGCCACCTGGAGAAGGGCCTGGGGTAGGGAAATGAGAAACCAGGGCCACTGTCCCTGCTGGCCACAGGTGCAGGCTCTACCAGCCCCAGCCTCCTCCCTGTGGAGTGGGCTGCAGACACCTTTCCTTTAGGGACACCCAGTGTGTGACGCGTTGCGAAAGCTAAGCAGCGTTAGTTCACTCCAGGAGCTGCCATGTCCCCGGAGCCCTGTGGCAGGCGTCCTTTCCCATCCACAGATCCTCTGAGTCTCTGATCAGGAGGGGCCTTGGGAAACCTTACATGTGTGTCCTGTGTCCCCAAGGGTTTTCCCCACAAAATACTAACCGCCATTTGTGACTAACGGAGCAACGTGTGGGACAGCCTTTCGCTCTCCTGCATCTCAGGTTTACTCATCCTCTTGGGCTGTTAGAAAACCCCACCCTGGATAGGATGGCGGTGTCTGGCCAGCCCCAAGGTGCATCTCAGTTTCTCTTGAATGCCAAGTTTACCGTTTATCAGCTGTGTGACCTTGGGAAAGTTACTTCACCTCTCTGTGCTTCATTTTTCTTAACTGTAAAATAAGGGTACTACCGGCGCCTGCCTGGTTGTGAGGCTCACACGACAGTGCGTGTGTGAGTGTGCACACGTACGTGTGGCGTTTAGAACGCGACAGGTTGGCTGTTGTCCTAGTGTCCAGGCTGGCTCGGAAGTCCTGGTTCTCGGTGGCACCTGAGCCAGTGGGTCACTGTTTCTGAAGGTTTCGGCCCCTGGTGATAAAGCAGGATTGAATTTCCCCGAAGTTCACTGCAGGTGTGGAAGGACTCGAGCACTCTCCCGGGCCCTTAAGCTACAGAGCAGCACCTGAGCGGTGCTGCTGCTTGAACACGGCGATCACAGGCCCTGCCAATCACACGCCTTCCAATTGACTATCTGGAGCTTTACGGCTGGCACTGTGGTTTTACAAACGGACTCATATGAGCATCACCTGAGTAGGCCGGGCCCACAGGATTGTCCCAGCCCCGGGCGGCCCGCAGCAGGGCCGAGATGGGGGAACAGCACAGCCCGTCACATCGCGGCAGGTGTCCCCACTTTCTCCGTCCCTCCCTCACGTGTGTACACTGAGTCGTGCTTCCCCGGGAGCCCAAACACCTGGGCATGACTCTCGGCTGTGCTACCGTGGGCAGGTCGCTTCACCTCTCTGAGCCTCCACCTCCTCGTTTGTAAGGCAGGGACTCCACCAGTGCTGATAGCCCCGGGCTGTGATGAGCGCGGTGTGCTTGCCACAGACACTGAGAACGGTGCCCGGCAGGTGGGAGAGCACTGGGTGTGCCGAGGCACTTGTGTCCCCACCAGACGGGGCGGCTTCGAGCTTGTCCACTGAGCCCGGCCCACAGCCGGCTTCCTGTGGGCCCCTGGGGAGGGTGCTGGGTCTTCAACAGGCGTCAGGACACATTCCGCTGAGTTAGAGACCTGTGTGGATTCCGTCCCCCTTTCCTTCAAAGGCTTGAGAAAGGATCAGGCCCTTATGTCTGGAAATGTCCCAGACAGTGTGTCTGTGGGAAGCTGTTGGACATGGCGGCAGCGCTGTGTCCAGTGGCGACACGGGGGTGGCCGGTGCTATCTGAGGTCTCTCACAGCGACGTCCGAGGACCTCACAGCCTCTGGGAGCTCTTCCCAGGGCTGCCCCTGCCTCGCTGACAGTACCAGCTACCAGTTGCTCCGTCCCTACTAGGTGCCACCTGGATTTTCCAGAAAACCTGGGGATCCCCACAGTCCCCAAGGGGAGTTTTAACGGGGGGGGGGTGTTAAAACGTCCACGTACCTGAGGTCCCCACCTGGAATTCCAGCGAGCCGCTGCTGCTCGTGGCCACACGGTGGCACTGTTGACCAGCGGTTCTGCCCGGTCCGGCGGCCTGAGGACAAGCCAGATCCCGCCAGGCTTCTGAGGACCTCTGAGTGGGGAGGGTCCCCCTACTCAGGTGTTCTGAGCTCGGGCAAGGGGGGTCCTCATCAGGTTCCCAGCGGGGCAGCTCCTGGTGCTGGGCTCAGTCTGATTACACCCCATTCTTGCCTTTCCGACCACAGAACCCCAGGGCCACCCTCCTGAGACCATCCTCCAGGGGGCGTCCCCTGCCCACGGCGCCAAGGTGACCTGGGGCCTCTCCCCGCAGGGCAGCAGCTCAACGACAGCAGACACTTTGAACCCGCGGGAGACACCCCCTCCCACAGGAGTCGGAATTTAACAGGCCACGATTGTTAGGTCAGCGCAAGCCCCTCTGAGCTTCTGGTTCAAATGTGAGGCCACGAAGGGGACCCTGGGGGACCAAGGGGGGACCAAGGGGGGAGGCTGTGCGGTTGGGTTGCATTTGCTGCTTCGTGGTAAATGGTGCCCGTTTACTGGTTGCTAACTGTGGACCTAGGGCAGTAACTTTACCTTTAAGAGCCTCTGTCCCCACCTGCAGAGCCCGATGACCTTAGTATCTCCTCACAAGAAAGGTGGAGCAATTAAACGGGGTGGTTCAGGGCCCCATGCCTCCTGTGTCATGCACGGTAGCTGGCATCTCTGATGAGTAGGTGAGGGATATATATGTTTCGAAAATGGAATCCTCACAAATAAATATTAAGTTGTAGTTATTAAAATTGTCATTAGATAGAAAAAAAACCTTTAGACTACCATCAAATTTAATTTAATTAAGTCCAATATGAATAGACAGGGATTATGTGGGGGGTACAGTCTAAATCCCATATTTAGAAGAAAAAAAAAGCACTGCTAGCAAATAATTGTGCGCACCCGTGACGTGCCCAGCCCTGGGCAACGGACTGAGGGCCGTGACTCAAGAACCAAAGCAGAGCCCTGCCCTCCGGCGCTTTCCAATCTAGTGGAAGGTGTGGGGTGCACAGCCCTGAAAGCCCACACACTGGAGCTACAACGCTCGGGCTCGGGCACCTAGCCCGATAGGACTGCAGGGAGCAAAGGTGTGGAGAGGGCTGCGGACCAGTCAGGTCAGTGGACACCCAGGGGTGAGGTCAGGACACGCAAAGTGTCCTGAGGAGCCCGGGCCTGATGGAGCTGAGGGTCTGTTTGGAGAGATTTTCCAGAACCTTCCCTGGATGGCCACGGGGAGCCCTCAAAGGCTGTTGAGCAGGGGAGGCATCTGTGAGTTTGTCCCGATGTTTCACACACTTGCTTCCACTCTCGAAAGCAGAGCGAGTCTCGATGGTGTCAGAATCACTGTGGATTTTTCCTGGTTTTCATTCCTCGTGGAAAACTAGGTGGGAACAGACTCAGGGACCGAAAAAGGACAAAAACCAGGAGGGGCAGGAGATGCTTGGGACCCTGAGCCTGTGACTGACCTCCCCCTGTTGGGAGAGGCCTGGCCCAGTGCCCCGGGTCTCGAGCTGTCCATCACTGTCCCCGGGGCGTGCAGTGTCCCCTGTTCACTCCCCATTCAGTGAATCTGAGGTTTCCCATCACCAGGGGGACAGTAACAGCAGTGTGACGAGTGCTCAGATGGCACCTACAGGACACTGTGGACACGCACTAGAGAGGGAAAAGGGTGCAGAGAGACTTCCTAGAGGAAATGCCACCTGAGTGGATCCGATGATCACATGTTGACGAGGATTGGTGGCACTTAAATTCAACACAGGCCAATTATTTCTAAAATGGGAGATTCCTAGAGTCTGGGAACGGCTGTGTGTGCTGCAGGCTTTCTGCCCAAGCCTCTGGGTTCCTCAGTCAGTCCCTGTGCAGCCTCTTCACGTGCCCGGAGCGGGCCAGGCGCCGGGCACAGCCGCACGAGGACACTCAGTTCTGTTCAGTGTCACCAAGGAGAAGCCAGGATGGCGTGAGAGGCGCGTCCTGGACCCATGTGCTCTGGTCATGCCTCTCCACCCGCAGAGAGAAGGCTGCGAAAGTCCCAGCAACAACCCAGGTTCTTGGAATCAAAGAGGCGTTTCCTCCAGTAAAGAGTGAGACCCCTTGGCGGGCTCTGGTCACCAACTGGATTTCTCCTGCTAACCCAATAATCTGAGCTCCTTGGATGGAAGGTACCAGAAGGTATCGGTGATAAGACTCAGCCCCACTTTCAAGGAAAATGACATCATCCACACTGTTCCTAAGCCAGGCCCAGGCGCTGTTTGGGTATATTTTTTCTAATTTGATTCTCATTTAATATATTATTAATGTCCTGTGAGGGGTGTTTTGATTCTCTCTCTGTGTGGAAACCCCCACTCAGAGATGCCGTCCAACCAGGAACCGTGAACACGGGATGGAAACCCTGCTCCGGTGTCGTCTTCAGCCGGCACACTGCCTCCCCTCACCAGGCCTGCAGTCTGGTTTGAGGGTGGAAGTGACACAGGGGCCACCATACCAGGCCTTTCCTAACCATTGTCCTCTCTCCTCTTCTTTAGAAACGTTCCCGGGGACCCTCTGCGGAGCTGAAACGGCAGTTCCTGACCCCCAGGCGGCGGGGGGTCCCCAAGGCCCAGGCGCTGTGGCCCCAGCGCGGAGCCTCACGGTTAGCGCCCGCGGGAGGCGCCCTCGCCAGGCTGGCTGCAGGTGAGGCGGGCGCCAGGTCTATCGCCGGCCCATGGCCGGCGGGTGAGCGCTCCGGCCCGGAGTCCTGCTTGCGCGGAGCCTCTGCCTGGACCACCTGAATCCGGAGCGATGGCGCGCGTTCGGGGGACCGCAGAAACCACCCCAAAGAGCGGAGAGAAGCCCTAACCAGTCCTGGAACCCCAGAGCATCTGCTGGCGATGTGACTCGTCCCCGTGGTGGGGACGCGCAGACCCCGAGCAGGGGCGATTCCGGGAGGGTCTGGCTCTGGGCGCAGCCCCCCGCGGCGCCATGAACGGTCACTTCTGCCGCGCGCTGGTGGACCGGGGGCCCGCGGTGCACCCCTGCGGCATGCCGTTGGGCGCCGCGCCCCCTCCCGGGCCAGCGCCCCTGCCCGCGGAGCCCTCGGGCGCCGTGCCCTTCCTGCTGTTCCCCGGCCCGGCCGCCGCCTACGCCGGCCTGTTCCCCTGCGCGCCCGGGCCCGGCGCCCTCGGGGGCTACGACGGCCCCTTCGAGCCCGCGTTCATCCAGAAGCGCAACGAGCGCGAGCGGCAGCGCGTGCGCTGCGTCAACGAGGGCTACGCGCGCCTCCGCGGCCACCTGCCCGGCGCGCTGGCCGAGCGGCGGCTGAGCAAGGTGGAGACGCTGCGCGCCGCCATCCGCTACATCCGGCACCTGCAGGAGCTGCTGCGCGCCGCCCCCGACGGCCCCCGGCCCGAGCGCCCCGGCGACGCCCAGGCGCCCGAGGGCCCCCGCTTCTCCTCCTCGCCCGGCCTGGAGTCGGAAGAATCCAGCCAGTGACCCGGCGCCGCCGCGGGGCCTCCCCGCTGCCGACTGCGCCCCGGGACGCTGCGGGGCGGCGCGGGCCGGACACCCCGCGGTGCGCGGCGCTCCGTGGCTGCGACCCGTCCTTCCGCGCCCCACCGCCGGCCTCTTCCTGCCGGCCGGGCGGGAGTGCAGGGCCGGGTGCGGCTGGCCAGCGCAGGCCGAGGAAGCCGGGGGCGCAGGGGGCACAGGGGGCGCAGGCCCTGGGGGAGCCCCGGCGCGTGCCGCGGCCTCCAGGTCGCCGGAAGGTCGCCAGGACGGTCACCGGGGGCCTGGCCCCGACTCAGCTTGGGCTTCGCGCCGGCGAACGCTGAGGCCCAGCTCCGGGGTGTGCGCCGTCCTCCGTGGCCACAGGCGCAGCCCTTGGTCTGCGAGTCTCCAGGCGGCGAGCGGCGCTTCGGTTCAGGATGCGCCCTGACGGGACCGCCAAGCGGTGGCCTCAAATAGCAACGGCCTCTTGGGGAGTTTGCTTGCACCCCGCCCCCCGGGAGAGGAGCCCAGAGGGGGCCCGGGAGGCCCAGCTGCTGCGATTGCCCAGACGGGACCGACAGGCTTGGGAAGAGACGTTGTGTGCGCGCTGGTGGCACCCCTGGGACCCTTGACGGAGGGCGGTCACCCTGCTTTCCCCACTCCCACGTGGCCTTTTCCTCGTTTTTTCCCCCAGTTTAGGGGAGGGCTGCGTTTCCCTGCCTCATCCTGTGAGCCTCTGTGGGCGGCGGGACCGTATGGGTACGTTGGCACCGTCTGTGCCAAGGGCCCAAATAAAAGATTTGTCGCGTTGTGTGATTCCTGGATAGTGTCTGCTCCCACTCACCCTGCGCCCAGCTCCGCACTTGGGGCGAGGCGGGTGGGGTGTCCTGTTCGCTCATACACTCAGCCACCGTTTACAGAGCTCAGCATGTGCCGTCCAGGGGCAGCGTGGGAGGCGCCAGAGTCCCAGAGAGAAAGCCCTCGGCCCTCACAGAGTTAGGGGGAAAGGGGGTGCGAAGCAGTCACATTCCAGGTTCTTCCGGGGGCCTCCACCCCCGTGTGCAGGGGTTCTCTTTGGGGTGGGGAGGAACCCTGGCCTGAAAGCTGCAGGGGCTGCCGCGGGAGGGGGCTGTGGATTGGGACCACGCAGCACCTTTTCTGGACAGCGTCATGGGGCTGCGGAAGGGGAAAGTAGCCCTGGCATAGAGGCGCCATCTCGGAGGCCTGTCCTCCTGAACCCGCTCTCCCCCAGCCCTGAAACCTTCCATCCTGCCTCCCACTGCCCGTCCCAGGCTGGCATGCGGTTCCTCCCTCCACCGCCGCCCCCACCCTCCTGAGACGCATTGGGATGCCACTGGCGAGGCTGGGAAAGAGTGACAGCTGCCTGGCCTCAGGGGCTCAGGCAGCACAGTGAGTGGGAGGCTAATTTTACTCCCTGGGAGCAGGGCGAGTAATCCACCGGCCCCACCCCCCCGGCCCGGCACCGGCCCTGCAGACTCAGCGGCCCAGTCCCCGGGGCGAGGACACAGAGGACGCAGAAGAGGGCAGTGGGTGGGGAGCAGGAGCCAGGCTGCCGGGAACATGGAGCCGTCCTCCCCGCAGGACGAGGGCCTGAGGAAGAAGCAGCCCAAGAAGCCTGTGCCTGAGAGTTTGCCGAGGCCGCCGCGAGCCTTGCTGTGTTTGACCCTCCAGAACCCGCTGAGGAAAGCCTGCATCAGCATTGTGGAATGGAAGTATCCTCTGGGCCCAGGGCGGCGGGGACAGTGAGAGGGAGGCAGGTGGCCTCGGAGGCAGACAGGGTCTCAGAGATGGGCGGCTGCCTCACAGGACCCCGGTGGAAGGAAAGCCCCAGCCGCGGGGATGGGAGGAGGGGGCTCCCGGGGCCCG